TGTTCTTGTGTCTCAGAGTCTTATATTGTGTAGTCACTGTAAACGTTGTAAAACTGTTGTAAAGACTGTAAAAACCAACCAACAGTCTCACGTAAAACATATCTATTTTACAAGGTGGTGATTTCACATTAATTTGTACGATGTGAATCATACGAAAATGTATGGTTTTTAGAAAACCAGTAGCCTAAGCATGAAGGTCCACCTCCAAAACAGATATTTCAGATTGTACGAATAAGATCACACAAATTAATCTGAATTAGCCACCTTTTCACCAAAATGTAACAGTTACTAGGCTGGGTAAAAATATCGATATTTCGATATTAATCGATTCTCATTTTTATGGAACGATATCGATTCTTAAATCCCAAGAATCGATTAGTCTAGCCTGTTTTCAGTTAATGGACGGAATGTTGAAGGGGACGGAACGTCCCATCCAATAAATCGCAATAAGCATTGTGCTTTGGTACTATTAATATGAAACAAAGTCTCAGATTTCAAATTTTGTCCATTGTATTGCAGTATTAAAACAATAAATGCCGTTTTGGCGCTGTTTAATGTGGAGTGACCGATCTCTGTACCGTTTTACAACATTAGTTGAGAGATTTTTTTTTCCTTGAGAAAATTTGGCATGTACTGTACCTGATATATATCCAAAATAATCGATATTGAATCTAATTGAATCAAATCGCAAGCCTGTTAATGAGAATCGAATCGAATCGTGAAATTTGTGTCAAAACCCAGCCCTAATAGTTACCCTATTGAAGAATAACTATACTAAAATGTATTTGAAATACATTTGCATTACACATTTGTGTACTTAACTGAAATACTCTGCAATTGTACTTTTAGTGTACTAAACTGGTATACTTAAAGTCTGCTAAATTGGAATAACTAATTTTGTACTTAATGCACTTTAATTGTGTGGAAGTAGTGCTGAAGTCAAACTAAAGATATACTGAAGTATATTTGATTGTGCTGAAGTGGAACTATTGCAAGTATAATTCAGGTAAATATCTTGCATTTAAAGATCAATATTATTCAAAGATCATACGATCCTCATCAACAGCAACATAAAACAAATTTGAGGCTTAATATTAAGAAATGTGCATTGTTCACAAGTAGTGCTCCAAATACAGTTTAATTATGATTTTTATATCAGTAAGTCTCAAACGATATGTCAGTAAATATGTAATAGATTTGAACTATACTTAGTATGAAATAAATGTATTTTAAATATATTACTTTTTTACTAGGGTATGAATTGCCATGAGATTGTGTTGTAAAAACACCATAAAAAATCATGTCAAAAACAATGTTCTATTCTTCTAACAATGAGCAAGAACTATGCTCTTTTTCTATTATAATATAATCAGATTGTATTATTTATTTATTTTTAGGTAAATTAGCTTAATACGTTCTATTTAGCTTATTTATATTCAAATAAGCTTAATTTTTTTTAAATGCCTCCTTCCAGAATGTTTGACGGTTTACTAGTATTGTCTTTACATTGTTGTGGATTTTCTTGTCACAGAAGCTTCTCGTGATGTTGCTTCCCATACTTTAACTTCAGAAAGTTACTTAAAACAGTTACTGTAAGCAATAATTATAATGAATTGAAATGTTAAAAAGCAAAATTCCATGCTTATTCTTTTTTACAGTGTTGAGTCTTCTAAAGTGAGTGCTTGGATGAAGATTTTCATTGTACAGTATGTGCGCTGCAATATTTTACACACTTATGGATAAGCACACATGTAAACGCATGGTTAAGGGCACATGAATTATCTTTTCAATGTATAGTTTCTGTGGAGGTACAATATATGTTGAACTTTATGAACCAAGATGTTCTGGTAAGTGATAAACTATCACGTAAATCTTTTTCCTGCTCATAATCTTTTATCCTTTAGTAAATGTTATCTTTTTGGTGTCCAAATACCTATATTTGGCTAAAATGAATAATTTCTTGATTGCAGTGATGAGTTAAGCATTTCTGCTTTTTGTACCAGTTGGTGGCAATATTACGTAGATTTTGACTGATTTTGAAAAAATCGTTTTGGATTATGCTGTGTGCATATTTGTATGCATGTTTGTCAAAAGTCTAAGTCCACTGCTAACAAACAATGCTTTTATTTTTTAAATCCTGATGATCATGTTTTTTAAGGATATGGAAACTTCAAAACTTTCCGATGTCCTCATGTGCATACGTTCATTGTCTTCACACCTACGTAATCATTGCACGTCATGAACGAAGCAAAAGGATCTTGCAGTTGTCACCTACATCAGGCCTGTGCCGAGGTGGGACAGACCGCCGCTGTCATGGTTAACCACTGAGTGAGCTAAGCTTAATGTGATGATGTACTTTGACAGCAGGACTCTGATCTAGAGGAAGTAACCTGCCTCAACCCTCTTGTCTGCATTCAGAGTAGTATTTGAAACAACCTTTTGTCTTGAAACATTAGTTTAAAGGAATAGTTCACCCAAAAATGAACATTTGCTGAACATTTACTCACCCTTTAGGCCATCCAAGATGTAGATGATGTAGATTTGTTTCTTCATCACAACAGATTTGGAGAAATGTAGCATCACTTGCTCACCAATGGATCCTCTGCAGTGAATGGGTGCCGTCAGAATAGGAGTCCAAACAGCTGATCAAAACATCACAATAATCCACAAGTAATCCACATGACTCATAAGTCCATAATTTAACGTCCTGGGGCCAGTTGCAAGGTTTAGACTAGTCTTAAAAGTAAGTCATATAATGTTTTCCTTTAAGACTGGTCAACATTTTTCAAATTCGGTTACATTAAAACTTACAGTAGATTAGTCTAAGTTGAATCCAAAATATAAGACTGATTACCCCTTGGTTAACTGCTAGTTGGTCAAACTAGTTCTTAAAACACTGTCTTAACATAGAGGCCAGGTTTATGCAACTGGCCCCAGAAGTGAAAAACTGCAAGTTTGCAAGAAACAAATCCATCATTAAGATGGATCACTTCGGTCACTTCTGGCCAAAATATGAGTCCATTATCCTTAATAACACTTCCTCCAGTGAAATGTCTTGATAAATTTGTTTATTACATGCTGTCCACTTCAATTGATGGACAAAAGTTTTGTGGATTACTTCCCCAAACAAAATGAGAAGTTAGGGATGTTAAATTAAATAAAAAAATTAAGATAATAATTATTATTTTTATAGGAATATTTAAACTAAAATAAAGTAAAATTGAACTAGAAATTATAAAAATAGATGCAGTTAATTTCCTGGTAATTAAAATATTATTTTGAAGTATAAAGGTTATTAATTTCAGTCTTATAAATGTGATGTTATGCTAATTCAATGGCAAAAGCACTAGTATTTGTCAAATTTGTGATATGAAAATGTTTATTTGGGAGAGGAAATGTGTTTTTTTTTTTTTTTATCCATTGTGACTGGCGTCTTCATATGTGACCCTGGACCACAAAACCATTCTTAAGTCGCTGGGGTATATTTGTAGCAATAGCCAAAAATACATTGTATGGGTCAAAATGATAGATTTTTCTTTTGTGCCAAAAATCATTAGGTTATTAAGTAAAGATCATGTTCCATGAAGATATTTTGTAAATTTCCTACCGTAAATATATCAAAACTTAATTTTTGATTAGTAATATGCATTGCCAAGAACTTAATTTGGACAACTTTAAAGGTGATTTTCTCAATATTTAGATTTGTTTGCACCCTCAGATTGCAGATTTTCAAATAGTTGTATCTCAGCCAAATGTCCTATCCTAACTAACCATACATCAATGGAAAGATTATTTATTCAGAGTTCAGATGGTATATAAATCTCAATTTCAAAAAGTTGACCCTTATGACTGGTTTTGTGGTCCAGGGTCACATATACATTTCTAAATAGCATGTGTTGCTATAGCGTTTAGAATGTTTCTGCATGTATGACATCATACGGCTTCTTTGGCTCTCAAGTGACATTACTAAAGAATGCCAAAGATTCACTTTTTATATTTTAAAGGCCACAGTTTGCTGTCTCTCCTAAATGGCTTTTGTATTTCTTTTCGGCTGGCTTTTGATTCTTGGTTCATGCCCCATTGTAAGGTCCTGTCTGCAGTGTGACCAGGTGGTTCGTTATGTGCATGAAGACTTCCTGTCCACAGTTAAAGGAATCACTGTCCGTGATCAGATCGAACTGAAGCAAATCATTGAGCATGCTTACGTCAACTATCGGGACACCAGCAGACGGTTTCGCGGTGTCATAGGTACTGCTGTAATATAGCTGGGAGATACTGCTATTCATATCTGTAAAATGCTTTAAAATGTAGTAGAAATTAGCAGTTTAGATTAGCACATTCTCTGAACAATTATCTATAAATAACATTGCCTATGCTGATTAGTAGTTTTTTTTATTTTTATTTGATGTACTATAATAAATAAAACTGACATAAAACTTAATAAAAACTCATAGACTAATAAAAATAACAAAAACTTTAACTAACATAAAAATGAAGACAAAATGAAAACTAATTCTTATTGAGAGGAAGGCAACCTTGAAGCTCAAATATAAAAAAAAAAAAAATTTGTTAAAATTGTTGGTCAATATGCATAATATATTTATGCTATTTTGTTGTTTTGATGGCTTTGCTATTATTCAAAAATGTGGGAAAAGGTGGGAAAATGCTTAGGTGTTTTGAAACAAATACATGCAAGATTGGCCAAATTTCTATTTTGTCTTCAAATTATATTTTTTCATCATCATTATGCTATCTGATGTTTGTTTTAGATCCCACAACTCTCTATCGTGCACGGACAGAATACCAGAGTGAATTCAAGAGGCACTGGAAAGAGGACAGGACAGGTGAGCGCGTGTGGATGCAGATTATGTCCTTTTTCATTTTTTAAGAAGAAGAAAAGTTCTAGTCTGAAGTCTATAGAGCAAAAACATCAGAAAAGCTAAGCTGCTTTACATCTGACAATGTTGTGTTCTTCTCGTTTAGGTTCTATTCAGTGGGATATGATTAATATAGTGGAGAAAGGAAAGAGAATCCTTCAGAAACATTTGAAGATTTTTGCTGCCCACGGTATGGCATACATTAGATTTTATATAGCAAAAATGTGTCAGAACATCTAATTCTCACTAATGATCTTTTTCTGTATTATCTTTTTTATTATTCTTCTTTTTCAAAGGTCTGTGTCCAAATAAATGTGGTAAGTACATATTTGGGATTCCTCTATATTTCTCTATAATATTATTTGGAATATCTTAACACAAGAAGTCAAAATTTTGTGTACACTTATTCTTTGGAAAAAAAATGGTGTAGAAATAATTTTACGCTCAGTAAATTTCACAGATAATTACAGTGAAGCAGCAAGTAACACATGTAATAAATGAAATGTGAAATGGTGTATGTGTTACAGGATAAAGAGTGTGTAAAGTATGATATATTTATCGTGTATACGGATGCTTGTTTGCTACAGGGCTGTTGTATCAGAGAGTGATGAACTGCACTTCCTGTCAGTATGGGCTCTTTACGTGTCAGTCAGCCACGCCGCCACTAGACTGTGGAGGTGAGACAGACAAACGCCCACAGATACACACACCAAGTTGATTTTATCTGACTATATTAACACGGCACACTTCTCTTTTGTCCTTCTCTCTTCTTTGTATTCTTTCTCTCACTATCAGAGCATCATCTTGAGGCAGATGAAGGAGAGGAGGTGGTGCTGGACTGTTTCCTGTGCTGGCACGCTCTCGTAGTTGGGCAGACCGAGTACCATTACTCCTGGCATCCTGGAGAAAAGAATGTACGTGCACACAGACAAACAAACCCATTTGCTGTTTTCAAAGAATCCTGAAGCCATTTTGAATACTGTTTCAGACAACATCAGAAATACACCGTAGTATGTTTTTTGTAAACAGTCCTTATTACAGTTAAAATACACTAAAAGAATATGAATAAGTGCAAACTGACTGGAATGTTTTCAGAAAAACCTAATTGCATGTTATTTGCAATTGAATGAAAATGGATTATAGTTTAAATTGATATTGAACGGAATTAGCTAAACTTAAAAGTGCTTTTGACCCACTTAAGTAATATGCAGTGTACTGCATAATTTACTGCAGGCATTTTACTGTATATATAGCCTTAAATGTAATATTGAATAACACACTACAGATAAAATTACAGTCAAGTACTTTTACATGTACTTTAGTATTCAGCACATCAAAATAAATGTAGCTACTATTTAAAAAAAAAAGACAAAAAAAATGTCATAAAATAATGTCAACAAATTATTTGTCAGTAATACAAAGTGCATTTTTCAGACTTTACTTATATGTGTTAAGAAACAGCCATGAAAGTGGCTCTAAATACACTTAAGTGGCCTTTTATTTCAGTAATATTATAAGCAGTACAGTTTTTTAATATATACATTTAAGATTTTTTACACTATTTGTGCTTTTTAAATTATTTGTGTATGTTGGAGAGTAGCTAGCTAAAAGTAGAGATGCTAACGTAACTCATTTTCTTAGTAGCATGACAACAGCTCAGCTAATACTGATAGTCTACTTTTCCCAACAAGTACTTATATACATTATCTAATGATGTGTCATTTTATAGTAATGTTAAAGAAATCATGTCCCTTTGAATAGCTTTAATATACCATGTATTCTACCAGGTATCCTGCTTTAAATCATTAGCTTTTTGCTTGATAAACTGCAGTTTGAAAATACACTCAAGTATTGATCTTTCCAGACCAGAGTACACTGATTTAAATTTGAATTATTTCCTAAAATGTACTAAAACGCAGCCTGTTTATTATTCACTGCAAGCTGTCACATGACGGAGAGTATGAAGTGCTGGTGGTGACAAAGGAGTCTAAAATTGTCCTCAATCAGCTGAAAGTCAATGAGGAAGACATGTACCGCTGCCTCCTACAGGATAAAAAGGGTACTACGCTGTCCCGCATGTATTTCAAACTGAAAGGTAGGCGACGTTTATTGAATTGAATAACTCATTGTGGTCTAGATTTGTCCTCCTCTCATCTGTCTCTCTTTCCCTCAGTCAACCCACTGCCATCTACAACCCCTAGACTGATTGTGGCTTTGCCGTCCCTGCCTTCGGGTTATGATACCACACTTCACGGCCTTCAGAGGAGCAGTCTCATCATTATACTGATTTTACTGACTGTACTCAGCATCACAGGCAGCCTTGTCATCATAGTGAACCTCAGGTATGTCATAACAGGATGGTTAGAACATATTAAAAAGGGGCTTTTGAATATAGTTCGAACAACAACAAGAACAAGAACAAAATAGAAAATGGGCGAAAATAAAGATAGGGAAGGAAAGAATGAGTAATTAAATGATCAAGCCGTTATTGAGCATTTTGTAGAAAAGGACTTGTGGGTTTTCCCTCGATTTTACTTCACAAAACATTTATTGGATGGCCTTACAGTTTATTAAATAATTGTCTTTCTGTGCATATTTTGTGCTACTATTAGCAGTATTATATTTAAGTCAAATTTCATTTCATACAAGCTTCCATTTAAGTGTCCTTTGTTTATATTTTTATTCATTTTCATATTTTGCAAGACATAAATGAGATATAATCAGGCCCACATGGAATCTGCACCCACAGAAGGTCAGCAGATTTCCACAGAAGTTGAATGGGATGCCTGTCATTGTTTGTTTATGAAATCATGGCCAGTGTTGTTACTGTTAACTAAAACTATTACAACTCATTTTCATTAATTGCAGTAAAGCTGAGATCAAATCAAGTATAAATATTAGAGAAAAACTAGATGAAAATTGTAAATGTTGCCATGGCAATTTGGCAAAAATGGGCCGATAATATAAAAAGAAACAAAACCAAATAAAAATTAAAAAAGCACCTAACACAATTACTAAAACTTAAACTATATTATTATTTTAATGGAATATAGTATGCAGCTCAGCATATTATATGCATGCATGAGGGTTGGAGAGAGAGAGAGAATGGGGAGGAAGAAAGAATGACAGTGGGTGATCTGTCATGGCATCCTGCTGATTTTGTCCAAAGAGACAACATTAGGAAGGAAGCACACTTTGTTTGCATCCATTCTGTCATGTTGCTTTGTGTCGCTCTGACAGAGTGAGCATGAAGTGGCAGGAGGAGGAGAGAGACCGCAGGAGAGGAGAAGAGGGGGAGGATGTGGAGAACATTGAGCTGATGAGTGGATGTGATCCAAAGAGACACGAATAAATGACTACAATCACCCAAAAGACTGATGAGTTTCAAATGCTACAGTGTGAGCGTTTAAAAGATCATATATTTTATTTTATATATATAGATTTTTAAATAACGTTAGGGTCAGTAATTTTTTTATTTTATTTAATACTTTAAATACATTAAAGTAAAGACATTTATGTATATTGAATCCTGAAAAAAATGCATCATGGTTTACATAAAAATGTTAAGCAGCACAACTGTTTTCAACATTGATAATAAGAAATGTTTGTTGAGCATCAAATCAGCATATTAGCATGGTTTCTGAAGGATCATGTGACACTGAAGACTGGCGTAATGGCTGCTGAAAATTCAGCTTTGCAATAAATTCCATTTGAAAACAGTACCATGATGCTCAAAACACGCGTAAAACAGAAACTCATTTCCACTTCCATTTATTTATTTATTCCACTTGTATTCATTTCTTTTTAGTATTTAAATTTCTATGAGAAGTTGATGGCAATTTTAAGGCACATAAATGAAAGAAAAAAGAAGCAGCAGCATTTGGCAAAAGCTCATACAGAAAATAGTGACATCATTATTTGACATGAAGTCATGTGACAAGCTCTGGAGGTAGATTTTCATGGGTGATTTATTTTGGGTTTATTTCAGTGGTTAATGCCATTTGCATTATTATCTGTCCACCAGGTGCTGTCGTATGTTATTAAATTGCACAATGAGTTCACAAACACACACACGCTATGTAAAATAAATCCATTCACTGGAAATGAAAAAGGAAGACACGTTTTTTGTTGGGCAGACACGTGGGAGAGAACCAGAGATAAAGTGAGAGAGGTAAATCTCTTGGATTACAATGTTTTTCTAGAATGAATATTCCCCTGCCTACTGGTTAATCCTGGGGATTATCCGCTCTTCTGGCCAGAGGAGAGTACGCTGAAAACTCTCAAACGCTTGTTTTCATGTGAAGTTCCCCTTCGGTAACTGAGAGACTGTCAGACTTCCTGTTCAGAATGGCTCCATTACATCTGATTGACAGTTTTTCAGTTCTTTCAGTTACAATATTGTGTTGTTCGACGTGAACAGGTGGCTGAAATCTTTAGAAGATATACCAGAAGTCATATTTTCACAGTATTTCATTATTTCAAAGCAGCTTTATAGAAAATCACAATGTTAATGTTTATGATATCCTTATATTATCATGGGGATTCTGGGGAAAGTCCTTTAAGTAACAGGAAATGATCCATTTTGAAAGTTCTGCTCAGTCATGATTTTGAATGACTGGTTTGGATGCTTTCAGCTATTGTTTACCGTCTTACTGTTGTTTTAGCAAGACGAGTGGCATCATGGGAGGCAAGAAACACTGCCAGAGTAAACGCAGGTCGAATAGTTCTTCCAAAACATTTTTTTTTAACTCAGCTAATTACATTAGCTTATTTATTCCTCCAGCTTTCTGGCTTGAATGAGTTATTTGTTTCTCTGGAACAAAACATAGAATACAAAACAGAACACGTACATAGAATAAGTTTTGATTTTCACTAAATTACTCATCAACTTCCTTTATGAGACACAGACGGTTTGATCATTAAACAAACGTGGAGGAGGCATCCCTCAAGCGAATATTTTTTTAGCTACATTTGCAATTTGTGATCAAGATGTAGTCATGAGTATTTATATTAGGCTGTGTCGACATTCATGACGTACGTAAATCATTTGATCCACTGGAGACAACTAACACAGGAAATGTTAAAATAAATAAATATCTATTTAAAAAATAATAATCTGCATGTTCACACATCTGTAGGTGATTATTAAAGTGTCAAATATTTAAATTTCAGTGGTTTTTAATTAATTAATTAATTAATTTAATGTATTAGAGTTTGTGGAAAATTCATGTATACACCGTTGTATCATATATACAATAATACATTGATTATATAATGATGCATACAATAATATTTAGTTAAAAAACAATCGTGTCAATTTTGTATTATTGAATTCTTTTCCGACAGTAAACAGGCCCTATTTCTACAGCAAGAAGGGACAGTTCTATATTTTTTTCTCTGCCAAACAGGAAGCTGTGACATTACATGGCTCGTTACTCTAACCTCAGCCCACAGCACCATCTTCGCAACATTTTACACATTTAAAATGAACACCCTCATCCTGACACCCTCACAAAACCACATATAGATTATTCAATGCCACACACACACACACACTTAATGCAACAGGTGTGTGTGCTGAATTCAAGTAACATAATGAAATAAACAGATGAGAATGGAAACAATGGAAAACTTTATTTGTTATGTATCTACTCATTCTGAGCTGTTTGTTTTTTCAGTTATTATTGACTGGCAAGACGTATTGCCTGTAGTAGCAGCAAGAACATCAACAACAACATGTTATTTGATTACTGCCATGGTAGAAAAATCCCTTTTTGTGTAATCTAGATACAGGCCAGGAGGCATATTCTTTTTTTTTATTAATTGCACTAAATTAACACATTCAATTAGTTAAAACATGAACAGTTAATCTCATATCAACTGTGAAGTGAGTCTTCACTAAATAATCATTTGATGCAATGATGGTGTTGCGTTACAAACCAATTATTTGACAAGCAAAGACATGCGCTCAAATATGAGGCAAGTACGAACACAAAACCTCATATTCTTGAGCTTAAAAGGAGGAGGAGTGTGGGATGGAAGAGTGGCCGCAGTTGTGGGAGAAAGTGTAGGGGAAAAAGACGGGGGAGAGACAGAGTGAATGAAGGGAAATTCAAGACTGAGGGAGTGAATGAGAAAGAAGGACGGAGCTGAACTCAGCTGCTCTTTACACACATTCAGGGAAAGAAAAACAGTGCATGGGAGGATCCACCTCCTCTTCCTTTTACAAAAGTGGTTTTAGTTTTGCTTTGTGAATTTAGGGTGAGCTGAATATGTACACGTGTTTATTTGACAATGTTGAGAAATACTGTATATTTTGGCAGATCAATGCAATGCTACTATTCATTAAAACATCAAAATGTTTCTTATCATTTTAACCCTCATGTCCTGTTTGGGGTTTCAGAAAATCATGCTAATAGCTCAGAAAAAATATAACATTGATATATCAGATTGATATAACAATTGAAAACCTGTTATATATATATATATATATATATTAGTGCTGTCAAGCGATTAATCGCATCCAAAATAAAAGTTTTCGTTTACATAATATATGTGTGTATATTCATATAATTAATATTATTTATAAATATATTTAATATATAAACATAACATATTCTTCTTAAATATATACATGCCTGTGTGTGTATTTATATATACATAATAAATAATCACAGTACACACACACATATATAAACAAAAACTTTTATTTTGAATGTGATTAATCGCGATTAATCGTTTGACAGCACTAATATATATATATATATATATTAATCACATTACTTTAGTTTGGGGTCTCATAGAGCCTGGAAATCAAATATTAAATAATACAGTAAAAAAATTATTAAGATAAAGTGTAGAGATACTTTCCTGCCAACTGTGTATTTTAATTTCTTAGTTTATCGTTAGTAGTTTTTCATTTTTAGCTGTGTCAGTTTGACTGAAACAGAATTACTCAAATCGATACCAGTCACATGATAAACAAGGCAGTTAACGATTCAATAATATCTGCCACCTGGGTTTCGGTGAGGTCTGAGGAAAAATAAGACAAAGACTTAAATATCTAAATGAATGTAATGATATACACGTACATCACCCCACATATAAAAATGGTAAAGTCAATTGTAACAGAACATGAAAGTTAAGAATAATCTTTCTTGTCAGCATGAGGCATAATGATGTCATTTTAAGTCATGCTGGTTATGTTGACCGCAAGGTGTTTTTAGTTATCTTATGGGGGTGTTTTTGAGCAATAGCGTAAGTCTGTATTCTTGTGATGCATCACATTTGATAGGCTGTATCAATCATACATGAGGAAGAATCATTTCCATTCTCAGATATGTGACTCACAGACTCAAACATCCTCCCTCATGTTAGTAGTGCCATATGTTTGTTGTTGTCATTTAAAATAAATAAAAGGTGAGCTCAGACCTGTGGGTGACGTTCCACACTGTACAGAAATAACTGTGGGTGAACTTTTTTTTTTTGTAATCACTGGCTATTAGTTTCTACCTTCATTTAAATTTAAATTTGGTTACTAGTTTCTGTACATTCATTTGCATCTACATTTTATTCCTGGCTACTAGTGGTACTTTCACAGTAATTTTTACAGTAGTGGTTCTACAATAAATGACGACTGCATACTGTGACAATAGCAGGAAATGACTGTGATCAAATGACTATCAACAATAACTGTAATTGTGTGTTGTTAGACTTCCAAGCATGAATAAATTAATTTTGTTTCTTTTTTTCTTTTTTTTTCTGTTTGACGGACAATTTCTTTTAAAATTATGTTGACTGCAGTGACCAGTGTTAAGTTGCAGTCCCGGTTGACGAGTCATACTAATACTGTAGTTCAACTGACTCAGCTCACCACAATAGCATAAAAATCCCCTACCACTCATTAAGGAATAGTTCACCCAAAATTGAAAATTTGCTAAAAATTACCCTCAGGCCGTCCAAGATTAGTTTGTTTCTTCATTAAAACAGTTTTGGAGAAATGTAGCATTACATCACTTGCTCATCAATGGATCCTCTGCAGTGAATGGTTGCTGTCAGAATCAGAGTCCAAACAGTTGATAAAAAACATTACAGTAATCCACAGCTAATCCAAACGACTCCAGTGTATCAAGGGATGTCTTGTGAAGTGAAACGCTGTGTGCTTGTAAGAAACATCATTTAGGTGTTTTAACTTAAGCCATCACTTCTGGTCAAAATAGTCCAGTCCATAATCCATAACAATGCCTCCTCCAGTGTAAAAGTCCATCCACTGTTGTCCTCTCACATAAAATCCACTAATATATTTGTTTTGAACTGTTTTTGCTTATAAAACAGAGCTTGATCTGTTCATAT